AAGGAAAAGGATAATAATTATGACCTGTGTGTGTGTGTGTGTGTGTGTGTGTGTGTATATATATATATGTATATGTATATGTGAATGTATATAACAAGTGATGCACAAGCAATTGGTGTCATATGTTATGGAATATCCCTTTCGCCAGTTTAAGTCAGTTGTCCTAATTTTGTTCCCTACCAGCTCGTTGAGCCTTTTGTTGTGAATGGCCTTGGTTGTGTACAGCACTGCTAGAAACATCGATGTGTTATGGATATTATTTTTCTCCTAGAACCAAAATATTACACATATCAGACATTGAGGAAAACAATTCAGTTCTAGCTGAAACTAAGACAGCTTTCCAGAGAGCTTTTTACCTTCTGCTGGGAATCACTGAGCATAGCATTTTATTTCATAAATGGTTGTATGCCTCACAAATGATGCAGTTATGAAACTGTCAAGTCCAAGTGGATATGCATCATTCCATATGTTTTCTCCAGTGGACTGGAAAATAAATTTGAAAGTTCTGTGCAGTGTCACAAGAGTACTTTTGTATTTCAAAAAGCTTTAGACATGCATGAGATTTCAGTTGGAAAAATTGCATTGGAATAAACGTAGCAGATGTTTATATATATCTATGTGTGTGTGTATATATATACATTTATACATTTTAATGTCACTGTCTTCTTGTTTGTGTAGCAACATCACCAGGCTGTTGTAGGAAGCCCTTTGATGTGAATTTGGAAGTCCTTTGGAGAAAGAGAAACTGTGTAACTCTGTAATGCCGACCTTGAGCTTTCTCTGACTTCTTCTGGACAGATCAACCCTGAACAATGCTGTTTTTCTGTAAACCATCCGTTTATTAAGATTAGCTCTCACTAAGAGCAGGGTGAATCTTCGAAACTCAACAATATGAATATAGATACCGCATTTTGTGTCTGAGCTAAAATGGGCTCTCTTTGTGTAGCTTATGGTCTAGACAGGCAGAATATTTAGTTAAAACTCCGATGCTCTCTACATGGTTCTTGGAGACCACTGTCAACACAGAGTAGCATTTGAAACATTATATTGATGAATCCTGAGAGGCGATACATTTCTATACATCAGTAGTAGCAAAGACCTATTCAAAAGGATAATAATGGGACTGAAGGGGCTTGTAATTTCCTGAAAGAGACTTTGTGGTACACCAGCCTGAGCTTGGTGCTTTGACATGCTGCTCTATCAGCTCAAAAGCTATGCCTCTATCTTCTCAAAATATCATCCTGGGTAAATACTACTTTATGTCTCTTACAGCACAAGTTTTCAAGGTTTTAAGACAGGAAATATCAACATCTTTAAATTTAAAGATGTAAAATGTGTTTGGAAATGGAAATGAATAAAAGGAAATAGGAATAATATTTATCACTATCACAAGGTGGGAAAAACCTGTCACAGGAATGGATTTTAAAATCTATATCTTCTCCTTGCCCATATAATCCATTGATTTTTGCCTGAAATATATTTTCTTATTACAATTTTACTCACTGTAGTAAGCTATATATTCTTAATTATTGCTTTTCCCTGCACTAATCTGAAGTATTGTTCCTCTTTGCAAGAACTGTGAGAGCTCTGCCATGTTAGTGCAGTGCTGCAATATGGGCACTGAAGGCAGATATCTTCATTACTCTGTTGCACAGGAGAGAACACGGTTTTGGAAATTATAAGATAAAGGATAATATAGTAAAATAAGTAAAACCCCACAGAACATAACTGAATAAGTTTTATGATAAATGAAATATACGTTTGCATGTTACTGTCTCCCTGATTGAAGTATTGTGACAAGAGAATTTGAAATTGATACCTATCTGACATTCAAATGTTATTAGTAGCTTGGTTTCTAATAGAATTGTGTGGTATCAGCTTGGCATGCTTACATACAGAAGATTTTTTTTTTTTTTTTTTATGATTTTTCCGTAGCAGTTCAGCTATTCCTCCTCAGAAAAGGAGATAAATTTTATATTCCCTCTCATAAGACACTGGTGATAGCTATGAAGCAGTGTAGTTACTTAGAAACAGGCTTTACCAGTGTGTGCTGAGTGAACACGCATAACTTTTTTTTTTTTTTTTTAACAAATCATTAAAAAAACCAACCCTGAATATTTTCAAAATTTGACAGTAGTGGTCTGTTGAAATGAAAAGATAGTTGGCAGAATAAAAATAATTATGCTAGGGAGAAGCAGAGTAGAGCTACAGTGATGACCTCCCTTAATATGCTACCATAGATGTGTTGGAAATAATCAGACAAATTTCACTGTGGAGAATTAATGCAATAAATTTGTTTCGATTATCTGCACTAGAACAGCCTGTATACAGGTTAAATCTTCTACAGCTGGAATGGTTTTTATTGCATATATCCATACTTAAGCATGTATAGTGTCTATCTCTACTTCTCAGGTAAGAGTGGATGATGTATTAAAACCCAGTGTACTATAAATAATCAAATCCCAAAGAAAAATATTTAATACATCTGTCCAATGTGCCTGAAATATCTGTTCAGAAGAATTTTAAACCAGCTACTAAAACTTAACACAAACCGACCTTCCTGCAGTCAGGAATGCAGTTGGTCAGTCCATCCTGTACTGGGCTTTGCTGGGTCAAATGTATCTCCTTGCTGACTGACTTCATACATGCACAACCTTTTGTTCTGAAGTTTTACTACTTGTTTTTCTTGTTTTTCTTTCTTGCACAGTAGCTGTATAAGTTGTGAATACTGCTTTTGTAAAAACGTACTGGACTTTATCACAGAATCACTTTAGGGAGTACAAGAGTTGTGCCTCAGCTGAATGCTACATAGAAATATTTTTTTCAGTGGGAGTCTATTTTCTCAATCATTAGACAAAAACAGCGGACATCAGACAAAAATTGGCTGCAAAGTAAAACTTTGATCTTAACGAAAGGGGGAGGCTGTTGTGAAGAATGTGTTTGTATGGAAGGAACTGAACACTGATCCCATTTCCAGTGTTATAAGAAAAGAGATCAGATATCTCTTTATAGTATCTTCCAAAGGAAATACAAAAAACATATCATAAAAAATTATTGTTGAGACTGGTTAAAAGAGCTAATAGTAATGCTTTTATTTCTATGGATTATTTAAACAGGAAATGTTTCAAAGTATTAGGGCAAAATCATTAAGTTTCTGGAGATGTTTTATGTAGCTGTGGATTCTGCTTTCTATGTTTTAGTGAAAGATGTTTGAGAAACAGTGTAAACTACAAACCTTGTTCCAATTTTATCAGTATGTTATATCATCTCAAAGATTTTAAAAGCTTTAATAAATACTTGGTCTGCAAAAATGTAGTGATCTTTCCATGGTTGCTTAATTTTTGGTATGAATCAGAAAAGAAAGTGTCCCCCACTTTTCTTATACTGGTATCATGAAGCTGGATTCAAAACAGGTATTTCTTAAGAAAGGAAGAATTGTTTGACAACAGCAGAATTAAAAGTTATGCAACAACAGAGGTTCCTTGTGATTCTCTGTATAGTCAGACTCTGAAGAAATCTGGTATCATTCAGTTTATTTTTACAGTAAAAAAAAAAGTATTCTCACAATTTAGGATCTTTAAAAAACATGTTTCTCAGACGTTCATTGAAAGGGTTCAAACTTGGCCAGAGTTCTGAATACAGATAAATATACATCTCAGAATAATTATTTTCTAGAAGAGTCAGAAAATAACTATTTAGTGCAGAAAGATTAATATATAACTGTAAGGAAATATAGATTTGCTTTCTGTAGTTCTGCACCTTAGTATGTGTTATTGTAATACCAAATCTGCATGACATCTAGCAATCCCTGCAATGCATACTGGCATGAAGTGTGTCTAAGTGTGCCACAGAGCCATGTTACCGTGCAAGGGCAGTTATGTATGCTGTGTCCTAAACAAGCACATTGTCTCCAGCATTGTATCTATGGAAAGAATTTCAGAGAAGGTCTGGGAAATGCGAGTGGGAAAGCTTCAACTACTTTGTGGAGAAGTCAAGGTGAAAGATGCTAGGGAAGTGGTGTTGCTGCTGCAGTTTTGAGCTATGTGGCCTTTCCTAACTATTTCCTATTACCCAGTGGTCAGTAATAGGTTTGGTGTAGTGGTGGAAGCATCAGACTAGCTCTCTCAAGTCAGCTTAGTAGGGCTCCTGGGAGGTCTAAAGCCCTGTGAGTATGGAGAGTATGGAAGAGGCGATATTAAGAAGGGCAGAAGGCAGGCTATTGCAGAAGTAAGTTGATGAATAATGGGGTGAATCACAACTCTGTGTGGTCTTTCGAAGTGATGCTGTACGCACTTTGGAGAAGACTGCTGTTCTTTCAGGAAAATCTTGCTATTAAGAGAGCCAAAGTGTTGGAATAAAGTGCTTTTTTATCCTCTCCATTCTCTTTTTTTTTTAATGTAAAAGCCATGTCTATGGTGAAGCAGTAGTGCAATGGACAGTAAGAAATCATGGAATGCAAAAAACATGTTTTTCGCAGGCAATAGATCTTTTTTGTACACCAAGACTAGGAGTCTGTATTAAAATTTTATAAGCCATAATTTTCAAATTTAAGCAAAACTTTGATTTTGATGCTATCACAATCATATTGGATATTTATCATGGCTGAAATACTTTAAAAAAATAAATAAATAAAAATTGTCTTAAGGTGCACAGTGTTTCTAGGAAGGGCATATTTTCTTCCAAAAGCAAAAAAAGACATTACCACATATGAGGAACTGACAAGTCAGAAGCATAAACAATCTTTAATTGCTTATGGAAAAATGTCATAACAGATAATGTGCAAGATGGATTATAGTTTAGGCAGTGCTTCAGGCCTTCAGTCTGCCTCATAATCACAGATTAAAATTGGGTTAGAGTAAAAAAGCTGCATAACTACAGGATTTCTCTTCAGGTGATAATGTTAAAAAAATTCATACAGCTAATACCAAAATGTGCTTGACATTTTTTATGTTCTCTAAAACTCACTTTCTGTTTTTGTTTTGCATCCAATACAGCATAAAGCTATGGAGGCATGATCATAACAGATAAGGAGAAATTGATTTCAGAACAGAATAACAGATAAGTAAACAGAAATCCTGATTGACCTCAGATGGCTTTGGTAAACAGAATAAACACAAATAAATGATGTATGTATTTGGAATTTTAAAGCTGAAAATAATAGCAGTAATTTTGGACAGACTAGTGAGAAATAAGTATGCATAATGCTTTGAAAACAAATTGAGAATGCTTTTTAGGTTTCTAAAAATCCACAGTCTTGCAAATGTCCAAGCAAACTAGCTGTAAAATTTGTTTTTTAAATGAAAAACTGCTATCTTTCTAGTAAGAGTGCAGCCTTATTAGAAGATGAAGCCAGATGCAAATGAAAACTATGTATTAAATGAAATCACAGTGGTCCTCATTCTAAGCACCGTAAATGAGGAGCTAAGAGCTGTAGAAGAAAGCAAAGTAAAGGCAGCTAAAGATGGATTTGCTTTAACCAGCAGTCCTTCCTGATTTTATTCCAGAAGCTCTTAGAAGGACTGAAAAAAGCAGAGCTCTAAAGTAATGCTAATAATGAAGAAAGGAAATATTTAAAAACAAGATGATGGACCTGTTAGTCTAATGTAGATCTTAGAAAAATAATGAAATTTTCCCAAACAGGAATGTATAGCTACTATATATATAGAGAGAGAGATATGTAGAGAGACTGTATCTCTACAGAAATAAGGAATTTCAGTGTAGCATTTCAGTGCTTTCTTTGTAGAAATCCTATTTTCTAATGGTTTACCAATTACGCTCTTTACAAAAAAGCAATACTGCATTTAGGAAACTATTTCAGTACTTGGAATTATTGGATTTTATTTGTTCCAATCAGTACATCTTAAATCAAAAGTGCTGGTTGCACCTTCTAAGATTATAACAAAAGCTGAAAACAGGAAATTGTCAAAGGAATAATTAATTTTTCAAAAATACGTACACAGAAAATGAACTACTTCATCAAAGTAAGTCTCTGGACATCCCACAGGAAAACACATAAGCTCTGTTCAAAAAATATAATGTTAAAATAGTTGAACACCAGATTGATGAACAGTTTGAAAACAAGTTGAAAGGTTTACCCGATGCTGCAAGAAAAGCCTCCAAAAAAATTGGAGAAACTTTATTTACCACTGACAGTGACTGGAAGATGATAAATATTGGGGAAAAAAAAAAACGCAAAAGGGAAAAAGGGTAACTCTAAAAGAGTATTAATTCTCATTGTAACATAGAGATCAAAGGGAATAATCTACTCTTTTGATGTTCATCAGAAATCTTCGGATAAAGCAGTAAGGCTATATTTGGTGTTGGTTTAATGTCTAAAATACTAGGTCCACTTCTTATGTGAGAAATTTATAAAGTATCCTTGATAAAATGGAAAGGCCCTGGAGAAAAATCAGTCAAATATGTATCCATCACTGCAGAAATCTCCAATCAGACTTTCAAGGGGAAAAATAATTATCATAATAGAAAAGTTGTTTTATAACCAGACAGCCTGTATACAAACAGATACGCTGATGTATGACCTTTTTGTTTGTTTTTGTTTTTAGGATTGAAATTGTTCAGATTGCTGATGAGGAGCAGAGGGGGAAGTATAAGGGCTCCATTTGTTTTCTAGTTTCTGCTTTTTTTCAGAACTAGAAATTGATTAACTGCAATAGCATGTACCTTAAAATTTTCACGCTTAATGTTATATAAGTTGTTATGATGACCTCAGATTTGATTTGTTGCATTATATTTATCATTAAATTGCTAGCATCTAATTTGCATTTGAAAGACCTTCTTCTATGTATTGTTCTACAAACCAATTGTTGCAGTAGTTTTGAGGTGTTCTTCCAGAGGTGTAGTGATTTGTGGTGATTAGAACTTTTATCACAATTAATTTAATGTCTCATGTAAAAAAAAGTCTTACAATTATTGCATCAATCTATAGAAGCTTTTAAGAAATGCAGCGAATTTGCTGTAGATTATGCCTGAAATTTGATGAGTTAATTAGGCCTCCTAACCTGTTATCTTACCTTTCATAATTAATACCATAATCATATTCATCTAAACTCAATTATACAGAAGACATTGTGTGAATGTTTTTTTTTTTTTTTAAATGAAACAAAACATGGGCACAGTAAGACAGCTGTACACTCCTCAGGGTGCAAATTCTTTAGCAACTGATGCTGTAATTAAGACAGAAATTCCATGTCTCTAGTGTTTAGGGAAATTGCTTTTGTATTTATTAGAAATTCTGGACAGCGTTGACCTAATAACTACAGCCTCTAATTACAAGGTCCATACATATTTAAAAGCAAAGTGTCTCTCCTGAGTTCAGGGTATGAAAAATGTGTAGTCTGGTTGTTGGGGTGGGTAATGTTTGAGGCTGGGATGATTGAGTCAGACCCAGAGAAACATTTGATTCTAAAATGACTGAAATATTCTTTTTTTTTTCTTTTCTTTTTCACTTGAATAGAAAGCTCAACCACATTGCTGAGATTGAGCTTAACTCTCGGTATTCAAGGTATTATCCTGCAGATTAAGAAAGTAATCCTAAAAATCTAGAGAAAAGATGTAGTACTCAGTGTTACTTCTGTATCAAATCTTCTCATCTGTAAATTCTAGACCAATCTGTTCTTACTAATTAAGTTAGTTTTTCAGGACATATATTTGCAGGTGGATTTAATATTATTACTTGAAATAGTATTAAAGATACAGATATAGAAACACTGAGAAACTCTCTTTAATCCTGAGAGGACTCTGTTCTGTTTCCCTTTTAGGCAACGTTAAGCATCTGTTATTTCTGAATCTTCTCTGAGACCGCGTTCTTCATCATGTGCAAACACTATTACTCTGCTGAACTTTTTCAAAGGTGCCATTATTGGAAATGGCTGCAGCTGAGAGGGAGAAACTGTAGGATTTTCAAAATGATGTCCCTGGTCAGGAAAGAATACCTACCCAAAAACTGAAATAAATTATCAGTGTATCCATTTTTATCTTTAATATTCCAAATAACATAAAGTGAGATAGGTGAGACGAAAAGTATTGGACTTCTTGACAATATCAATGAATGTTTGATGTCAATTGGAATTGTTATTGATATCAGTAATTATGCAAAATATATATATTTAAATATAGCGATTTAACATCTTAAATGTTTTAAAGAGAGAGCGCTGCACATAAGGAAATGACTGTTGTCACATCTGGAGATATTTTAGCTTTTATCTTTATTTATTTTGACTCGGTTTGTCTTATGTATTTTATACAGGCAAGGCAAAAGCCATAGACTATCAAATGAAGTAGAGATGCGGGGAAGATTTTTCAGATTCAAACATGAGTGTTTGGGGTATGTGAATCTACTAAATTTACCTCTAGGTACAGGTGCAGTAAAAATGAGTGATTTAGTTTATTTATAGACCAGATGGTGCATGGCTTTGTACAAAATTGTAATGGATGTAGCGGATTCTTTTGTATGCAATGAACAATTTCTATGAAAAGTTAGCCATTTAAACAGTGTCTATTTTATTAGGATTTCTGGATATATGGTAACTTGCTTGGAGAGACACAATAGTCTGGCAATAACAGCACAGCAGCATCTGATACCCTTATAAGAGCTCTTATATTCAACAGACCCAGACAGTGGAAAGTGTGTGGAAGGTGAAAGTGATTTTGGAAGGTGAAATTTTTGGAGACCTTAGAGAAATAAGAATATTGAAATGAAACTGCAAAATTTTCAAAAGCTATGACAAACCAAAGTCTGTATCTAACCTAGTATGTAACTAGGTGCATTTGGAAGGTACTTTGGCTCTTCTTGGATCTCAAAATCAGTGTTACAGCAATACAACTACAATAAGGATAACTTCAGATCTTCTTGGTACTGCTGTAAATGCTAGAATATGTCATACATTTTTTAAACATAGATCTCATATTTGCTTTCTGATCCTTAGCGTGTAACCTGGCACCTAATCCATAGAGAAGGTGAAGTCCATAGCTTAGATACAGTACAGCAGTCACTTGCAGAGGAGTTCTCAGGACTCTCTAGGAAGCTTTTAGGAATGGTCCCTTGAATTATCTTCTGAGTTTGAGCTTTATGTTTTTATTTACTCTGTGTGTTTCCGTTTCCAGCTGTTTTGCACCCTTTGCCACCACAAATTAGTGCATGATGACATCATTGCTGATACTTGTAAAGTGTGTGATGGAAAAACTAATGTCAGTAGAGCTTATCTGTACTGCAACAAAAATTTCCAGTTTGGGTTCAATATTTACGAAGCCTCTGTCTGCTACATGAAAAATAAACCTTTCCTTTAACTTCTTGGCCCCAGATCTTTCATATTTTGGTAGCACGTTTGGTTTTAATGTTTCCTACTTTACTTTGAGAAGATGTTCTGTTTTATACTGTTTCTCCATTTATTCCTCTCTTTCTCAAGCTATTATGGAAACTACAATTTGAAGTGATACTGAAGTTGTATATTTTTTTCAGTGTTATGTTGTCGAGCTTATGTTCTGAAAAAACATTTTTTGCCTAAAAATTATCAGTTTTAAAGAAACGAGAAGGGAAACAATCTTTTCTACGATCAATAGGGTTGTATCTCATCTTCAAAGTCTTTGAAAAATAATCATTTTCCTTGAGATAAAAATGTAAAAACATAGAAGAAAATATATTCTATTTTTAGGTTTAGCCAAACATTAGGTGCATTATTCAGCTGTTAGAGATGGAAGTTGAATGAAGCATATGGATTGCCCATTATAATAAAAGCAATTTGCTCTATCTGAGTAATTTAAGCATAAAAAATTACAATGATCAATCTTGTATAAAATAGACAAGGATAACTCAGCAGTTTAATGTTAATTGTCTTTAACATTCCAAAGCCCATATTGATTTTTATATTAAATTTATGAAGTGCCTGATAAGGTACAAGATCTAATGAATTACGTACATGACAGCTACTTGAACCTTACAGAAAGAGATTCCAGGTCATAAAGTCAGCTGGTCAGAATCTTCACAAAGCAGAAAAATTGTGTTTAAAGTTATCTTTAAGCCTATCTTTTCCTTCTCTTCCCTACATTTCTTCTTCTTTTAATCTTCAGAAGAAAAAAAAAAGTGAATAACTGCTGAAGCTACAAAAATAGAGGCAAGGAGTACTTATGCTGAGGCAGACTGGACTTGTAGACCCCTGAAGAGCATAGGATGTTCAAAGGGCAAATACTTGGCATTATCTTGTATTCTAACATATGACAAGACCACTGCTGATCACTGTTATTTTTACATACTTTTCACAATTTTGTCTACAATTTTTTCTCATAGAAATTGAGCAGGCAGAACACTGACTTGTCCATGTGCTGTAGTTATGTGTCTTTGAATGGATTCTTTGCGTGATGAAAAATCTACTCTTTCAGAAATAGCAAGGTGAACTGTGAATGACAGTGTAACAAGAAAAGGACTGAAGTCCATTGCCATTACAAATATAAATGTAAGTTTCTATCTGCTAGCACTTCCTTTATAAAATAATAGTAGCTGTCAGTCAGCAGAGCTGTAAGATCTGATGACGTTATTTAAAAAAAAACATTTCACTGCTGTTTTCCCTTATGAGCAGTGCTGATGTATTTAGTTCATGGTGTTCACATGATGAACAACATGCCTTCTTTATGAAATCAAGTTGTTGCATATCACACCCCCAGCAGCAGCAGTGTAGGAAAAGAAATAAATAGCAATGCATTGGGAACAATCAAGCTGTAGGTTTGTCACTGTAATAAATCAGCAAGGCATGCCAGATTGTGTGCCAGTGCTGCTTAATCACCTCTCCGGTGCTTAGTGAGGCGTGGTAAGAAGTTGAAACTTTCCAGTGAATTTGAACTGAACATTAATTACCAGCACAGGATAGTTTTTGTGACACAGTCATGTCAGGGATGCTTGAAGCTCTGACTCATTTCAAGGAGTAGCATTGGTCTCCTGAATGTGTAAGGCAGTCTAATGCAGACTCTGAAGCTTACTTGGTCCCACGTCAACATGAAAACTTGGAACTGACTCCTAACTATTGCCTCTCTGTATCCCTAGGTCTTGCATCCCCAGTCCGAAGAAGCAGACTCCTGCCATCAAGTGGGTGGGAAAATATTTCATTTTTCCAAAGGTCTGCTGTCTTAGGGGCTTTTGTTTCCTTTAGTTTTGGCTTTCTCTTGTAGATTTCACAAAAGGACCTGATGGTCTTTGAGGGGTCTTTGATGTCTGGATCCCTGGGTGCGGGAAGTCATTGCTCCCATTTGTATTTTCTGTCACTGCTGTTGTGGAAATGAAGTTGCATGCATCCAACCCAACAAATCAGACTATCTGGGCTTTTATGAAAGCTTTGGCTTTAATGATACATATAAGTTTAAATAAATGTGTTTCCTGAATTATTTGATGATAAAGGGAAGAATGAAAGAAAATCAAAGGCAAGTGGGGAAAGTAATACGTTAAAGCAGGCTGCTTACATAGAAGTGCCAGAGTTTCACATCAAAAACAGTTATCAATCATTTTTGTTGCCCTTACCTTTGCTTTCTGGGCCTGATTTTAACTTACAGTAAACAGTGCAACTCAATCTAATGTATTTGGGTGTCAATACTACTTAACTCTAGTGGAAATGCTTCCCTGGTGCCCATAATATGTAAGAAAGCTTTATTGTATAGAACTGGGCACTCTGTCCAAATATGTTAATAAGCAACACTTAATGATTTTTCAAGGTGCAAAAGTTTGATAAGATGAAGAGTTTGACATCAAAGATGTCTCTTCTAAAGAGGGGCATTTAAAAAAAAAAAACGATATACAAGCAACATAAGAGGCAAGACCTGTAAGGAAGCTCAGTAGTTGTCTGTAAATGTAAAACATTCTCAAGTATCACTGGTAGGTTTAAAGCACAATTTTTCAAATATACAAATAATGACAAAGCTAGAAGACTCCAGCTTCCAGAGTGAAGGTGAGATCACACCTACCAGAGCTGACCTAGAGAGGGAAAACAGCCTCTCTTATGTTTTCAGAAACAGTAAAAAAGTATTAAAAAAATCTCTGAACCTGAAGGGTTACCATAGAACACCGGGGCTTTACTCATGGTCTCAAGTCAGTGAAGCAGAAGCAAGAGTTCAGTAGAACTTAGGCAGATGTTCTCTGAACTAGAATTGCACTTGGAAACCTTACAGTCTATCAAAGAAATAGTTACATCTTTCATTCAAAACCAGCTTTTAGTAAAATTAAAAATGCTTTGCCAGTGAATTTAATAAATACTAAGAATATGTCTGTGGATCTTCTGATTATTTTTTTTTCCACTTTTATTAATACCAGATTTATTTTAGTTAATAATGTCAGACCATTTCTATCTGGATAGCTTCTTTGCATCTTTTTGGCCAGCTCCTTTTCCCTTGTACATCATCAGAACAATCTCATTTCTTACATTAGGTTATGAAATAGAATTGGGGGTGCTGTTAAAGATGTCATCAATTCAGTCCTTTTAGGAGCTGAATCTGAACTCAGATTTTACAGTTTGAGCACGTTTGGAGATATATTAATGTAAGTCAAATATCTAAGTCACAATTTCCAGAGATATCAGTCAAAGTCTTTTCTCTGAAACTGTATAGCTCAAATGGTGCTATAAGTCAGATGAAAAAAGTATGAAAAGTAGAAAAAATAATTCACTTAAAGAAGCACTGAGTTTAGAGGCAACAGCTAGTAATGACACCTTTTGTATTTATTTCCTGTTCCCTGAAGTACACTTCTTCTAAAGTTACATCCTGTTTCCTTACTTAGAATAAACAATATATATATAAGGCTAATAACGCTTTACAAAGTGAAAATATCTCCTCTACTACATTGGTTAGTCACGTTCTATGTTTACCGCTGCCTGCATGTTAGAAAGGCACACAGTGACAGATTTTATCCCCAGAAGAGCTGCAGTTTTAATACATGAACAAAAGCATGCGAATAATAGATACAGATGCTAAATTACCTCAGAAATGTCCCCTTATTTTGGTCTGGTAAGAAACTATATTAAGTAACTATTGTGAGGAAATTCGCCACCTCTAAAATTTATATCAATTTTGCAACAGTAAGAAGGAAAAAGCAGGAGAAGAAAGTAGCTTGAAAAGCAAATGAAAAAAAGAGAAAATATTTCAAAATAGTACCGAACTTGGTAGTATAAGTTCTTTTGGTGCTATTTTACACATTTATTCTTGTCCAAAATTGTTCTTTAATCTTACCTTCAGTCCCTGTTTCCAACGGTATTTCTAGCTATGCAGTAAGAGACTCCTACTCTTGAAAAGCCCTTTTGAATTAATTGACTATATGGCTGAGCCCTAATACTTTAACTTAATTGTGATGCTTGCTCATTTCAGTGAACACTGGGAGACTGGCTCCCCTGTTAGGACATGGGAAGCCTAAATCATGGCCTGTGGTCAGGCTGTAGCCAGTGCAAGATTCAGGAACAGATGTCTTGCTTATGGACCATAAATTAACTTCTCTGTGGCAATGGGTCAATTCCTAAGAGGCCATGTTCTTATGCCTACTAGTGGTGAAAATTATTTTTTGTAGATATTTGATTGGTAGATCAAGTGGCTGGCTTGAAGTGCAAGAGAATGTGTATCAAGTGAACTGTAACTTATTCAGGCACTTTCTTCTGTTTCAATTTTTAAATGAAGCTTTTTAAGCAAACAAGTGCCAATATGATTGTCGATATATCCGCTAGGAACCAGAAGTAGACTGTAAATCTGAACAGTTGTATGTAAGGCCAAACTAAAGGAGGCCTGTACTCAAAACGTAAAGGTTGAACATGAGGAAGACTTTAGATTCAGACAAAAATTTTGCTGCTTTTACATGACTCTGATAGCAGTATATTTTCTTAGGTATCCAAAAGGTTTCCTAATTCATTTGACATTGGTGCTTTGCAGCAGGGCACCAGGACTGAGAGAAGGATGCAGCTAAGATACAGACTTTTGTCTCTCCCATGTATCAGTCTCCCTGGAAATACAGCACGCTCTTATTTCTATCTTTATCATTATGATAACTTGTTCTTTTTATGGCACAGAAGTTTGGAGGTGAAAATTAAAGTTTGTGTTTTCTTTAAAAATAACACGTATACTTAAAAATGTATCCTGTGATTTCCTTTCACATAAGAAGATCTGCATTCTTTACGCTACAAACTTACTATACCATACAATTTTAATTGGCTTCAATATAATTTAGTTGTCTCATCTGTTGCTATGCCTGATTTTTTCTCAGGTTAATGATAGTGCAAACCTGTTAGTTTTATCTTGAAATGCAGACACAGGATGGAGGCTGAGGGACAGTCTCCTTTCCTGGGTAATGTTTAATTTGCTCACTTTGAATGTGTTTGTTTGAAAGTAGATGTTATTATTTTCTCTTTTATTTCTTTCTGACTTGTTGGTGATGACAGCTTGGAAATGTCTTCTTAGGAGTTTTCTAAACCTTGTTCTCTAGGAGATAATATATTGAAATCATGATTTCTGTCAGAATTACTTTAATCTTAAAGGGCAGAATAATAATATTTGTTTTTCATCCCTAACTCATCTTTCATTCCATAATTTGTCTCATACCTTGTGACACAAATACAGAAGTAATGGACTTTTCTGAAGTTGCTAGTAAAAATAAGAATGTTTTCGGAATTGTAATACTTATTGCTTGCATAATCAGTGTCTTCCTTTCCCTGATTATCTGTGTAACTGTGAATTTAAAATAATCCTGTTAATTTTCTTTGTGCTTCATTTACTTTTTCCTGCTCTACAGCTCTTCTTCTGTGATTAAATGCTTATAGCTAGCTCTGAGATTTCCCATCTCCTGCTTACTTTACCTTTACCTCTTTTTGGAGTTTTTAAATGGTGTTAAGCAGCTACTGAGTGTCAAGTGTAGTATATAGTACTATCATTCTCACTGCCTCCTTTTACCTTGTTTTATTTTTCTATTACACTTGTACTCAGCTGTAGTCTTATTTAAACAACTGGTTATTTTCTTACTCTCTGGTCATTGTATAATTATAATTGCTTTTTTATGGTAATCAGTATTGTAGCTCCTTCTTATGTATTATTCAAGATCGAAAAAAAGTAGAGGAAAAAAAAGCGTGAGAAATATTTCATGTCTCCTAATAAGAGACTTTGCCAGAAAAAAAGCTTCTTGTTCTTTCCAGACCTTTAAATTTAAGAATCCACAATTGTTTCCCCCTTTTTTTTTTTTTTTTTTTTTTTTTCATGGAAATAGATGAAATGTCATCATTGCCTTGTTTATTTGTTTGAAAATCTAATCATAAGTTCCAAGATATTTAGACTCTCAGATCTCAAGTTCTAGGCTACATAATGAATTTAGATGTATATTTTAAAAGTTTCTTTTATTTTATCTTATTTTATTATTATTATTATTATTATTTTTGGTGCTACTCTAAAATGCCAAAATCTTTTGTAGTTCTTCTTGGAATAAATGTGTGCCAAATCAATACTTGTTTACATACTCGAATGAAATCTACAAAAGCATCTTGGCAATTATTTTGAAAAGGAAGAGATGAATCTGAAGAGAGTTTTAATTTAATATTTAATTAAGGACCCTGAAGCACAAAGCAGGAGAGAATTATTTATAACACAAAGCTTTGAAAGCTTTGAGTGCACCTTAATGAAGAGGAGGATCAGAAAAATGTGTAGCAGAATAGGGTCACCCAGAGGAGGCATTGATAGAAATATAAAAGTATTCAGTAGGGCAAAGTCCCAAATTTAAGTTGTTGCTGTTATTATTCTTTAAAGATTTACACAGAATCACAGAATTGTAGGGGTTGGAAGGGACCTCCAGAGATCATCGAGTCCAACCCCCCTGCCAAAGCAGGTTCCCTACAGCAGGTCGCACAGGTAGGCATCCAGGCAGGTCTTGAACATCTCCAGAGGAGGAGACTCCACCACCTCCCTGTCAGCCTGTTCCAGTGAACAGCTGCCAGAGGAGAAAGACACAAGAAGTATCATGAAACAGCCATAGAATGAGTGATACTGAAATATTCCTTTGGTAATACTAACAGACCTTTCAGTGCAAGAATAAAAAGAGTAAGTAAAACAATATATAGAAGATGTAGACAACCTGGAGCAAGCCTAGCAGGAGGCCACCAAAAGATCA